TCATGTTTTTGCTAGGTCTAAAATACATATTACAAACATATAAAGCTTCATTTCTAGGAAAAATGAGATATTGGGTTTCAAATAACTAATTTGCAGGCAAATTTTCTAAGTATCAACCAGTTTATAATTTCAAGAGTAATCGTAACCAATTTGAACTAAATCAGTAAGTCTAGAAGTCATGTGGTATCTAACTATGTCTACTTTTAATCCTTTAGAACTGCCATGAGTGAATGGACAGCAGTATCCTCCAAAGGACTCTCCAATGCAAAGTGAGCTATGATGAATACATACATAAATATGTGTCTGCACACACACATATTGAGATTTGGGATGGGATTTGGGATGTTCACTCCCCGTGGGGATACACAGTTCTCTTGATACTGTTTGTAAAGTCTTCTCATGGTAAGCTTCTATATGTAATATAGAATCAAGGATTTTTGAATCAAGGTAGAAGAAAGATGAATGGGTTATAGAAGGAGTTCTCTCACCCCCAGTCTTCACCCTCGGTTATGAGCAGCCAAACTGATAGGAAATTTTCAGATTGCCTGTGTCTGAGTCTGTACTAGGGTAGGAAGGAGAATACTAGTAAATTATAAACAGCAAACATATGGGGGGACAGGATGCAGAGGGTGCCTCAGCAGAAAATAATTGAGCCTATAGACTTGGATCTGTGTATGTTTGCCACCATTTGCAGCTGGGGGGTGCCCCAAGCCCAGACCTACCATCATATTGGATAGAGCCATTGACTCAGACCTGTAGTGATCTGATACTACCTGAGGGGCAGGAAAGACATCCCTGATTCCTAAAAAGCACAGATGGGTTGGAAAGACTTGCAAATGAGGAAATTAGATTGGTCAAGAGAGGTGTATTCCTACGCTGAGGTAAATAAATAAATCCCACCCAAAAAGAATGTTACACATTGAGTCAGATTCAGTAGTAAAGAACTGTACCTAAATCTTGAGTCATTAATTTTTTTGACAGGTGCAAGGTATTCATTACAAAGACAAAAAGCCTCATTTCTAGGGGGAAACGACATACCAGGTTTCAAATAACTGATTTATATGTAAATTTTTTTTTATTTATATATGAAATTTATTGTCAAATTGGTTTCCATACAACACCCAGTGCTCATCCCAAAAGGTGCCCTCCTCAATACCCATCACCCACCCTCTCCTCCCTCCCACCCCCCATCAACCCTCAGTTTGCTCTCAGTTCTCAACAGTCTCTTATGCTTTGGCTCTCTCCCACTCTAACCTCTTTTTTTTTTTTTTTTTCCTTCCCCTCCCCCATGGGTTCCTGTTCAGTTTCTCAGGATCCACATAAGAGTGAAACCATATGGTATCTGTCTTTCTCTGTATGGCTTATTTCACTTAGCATCACACTCTCCAGTTCCATCCACGTTGCTACAAAAGGCCATTATATGTAAATTTTAAAAGAGTTAACTATCTTGTAATTTGGAGAGTAATTTTAACTAACTGACCTGAAGTATTTAATGTAGAATATCATGTAGTGTCTGACTCTGTCCCATTTTTATCCCCTAGCATTGCCTTGAGTGAACTGACAACAGTAACTTCTGGTGAAATCATCAACGAAATGTGAGATATAAATAGAGATGTAAACAGAACTATACATGTATAAAGACACATATGGAGACGGTGGGAGGGAGAGAGGCTGAGATTTGGAGGTTCATTTTCAGGAGCATTCAAGACATTACAGTGTCTTTTTTTTTTTCCTTCTGTGTCTTCCTCGTTTTTTTTTTTTTAATTTTAAATCCTAGTTAACATATAGTATAATAATGATTTCAAGAGTAGAATTTAGTGATTCATCACTTACACATAACATCCGGTGCTCATTCCAACAAGTGCCTTCCTTAATGCTCATCATCCATTTAGCCCATCCCCCACCCAACACCCCACCAGCAACCCTCAGTTTGTTCTCTGCATTTAAGTCTTTTGTGGTTTGTGTCTCTCTCTCTGTTTTTATCTCATTTTTGCTTCCCTTCCCCTATGTTTATCCGTTTTGTTTCTTAAATTCCACATGAGTGAAATCATATAATACGTGTCTTTCTCTGACTTATTTCAATGAGCATAATACACCCTAGTTCCATCCACGTTGTTGCAAATGGCAAGATTTCATTCTTTTTGGTCACTGAGTAATATTCAAATATATATATATATATATATATATATATATATATATATACACACACACATATATATATACACATATATGTGTGTGTGTATATATATATATATATATATATATACACCACATCTTCTTTATCCATTCATCAAACAGTGGACATTTGGGCTCTTTCCATGCTTTAGCTATTGTTGATAGTGCTGCTATAAACATTAGGGTACATGTGCCCCTATGAATCAGCATGTTTGTATCCTTTGGATAAATACCTAGCAGTACAACTACTGGGTTGTAGGGTAGTTCTATTTTTATTTTCTTGAGGAACCTCCATACTATTTTCCAGAAGACACTGAGAGTCTTTGACACCATTTCCAAATTACTGTGGCATATGAAAGTGACTTTGTCTCCAGTTTAGACAGAGTTGGATAAAAGAGAAACAGGTCATGAGGGGATGCATCTTATTCCTCTCCTGTTTGTCAGCCCTAGCTAGTGGCCACCCAAACCCCTAGGAAATTGTCAAAATCCCCCATGTATGAGACTCTAATGGAAGCGGAACAAAGGGGCACCTGGGTGGCTCAGTCAGTTAAGCATCTGACTCTTGATTTCTGCTCAGATCATGATCTCATGGTTCCTGGGATTAAGCCCCGTGTTGGGCTCTGCATTGACAGCATGGAGTCTGCTTGGGATTCTCTGTCTTTCTCTCTTTCTCTCTTCTCCCCTGTTCATGCTGTCTTGTGCTCTCTTTATCAAAATAAATAAATAAGCTTAAAAAAATAAAGTAGAACAACAGAGGAGATAAACCCATTTTGGAGCAAGGAGAAGATTCAGGAGTCAAGAAAATGTACACAAACTTGATTTATTAAGTTTTTGTCCACAGGAGTAAGAGTCTCATTTTAAGCATATAAAGCCTCATTTGTAGGGAAACATTGAATGCCAGGTATCAAAGGCTGATTAAATTATTTTTAAGTCCACTTGAGTACAAATTGTAGCCAAATTGTACCTAATTTTCATATAAAAATTAAAAAAATCTAGAGAGACACATGAAGTCTTAAAATGTGCATTTTTAATCCTTTAGCAATGACCCAAGTCAGGGGAAAAAAGTAACTGGTGTTGACCCTTTGATGAAAGGTGAGATATAAATACATGGAGATAGAGGAAGGGAGATACTGAGATTTGTGAAGTTCATTCAGGAAAGTGCTCATGGCAATACACAGTTTCTTTGACACTTTATCTCAAGTCTTTGCAAGCTTCAGAATGTAACTTTCTTTTCTGGATCTATTTGGGGCAAGGAGACCAGGTCATAAAAGGAAATAGTCTGTTACTTTTTGTAGCAGCCAAAACACTTGGGAAACTATGAAATTGCCCAGGTATGAGGTGACATACCCGCTGAGTGTATGGGGCCAAGAGAGGACAGAATTGCATTTGGAGCAAGGAGGAATCAGCAGTGGACAGGGAGCAGAGGAACCCTCAGCACAAAAAAATGGAGCTTGTAGACCCTGGATATGCCTCTTACCCTCCAGAGTGCTGCCACCATGTGAGGGTGGTACCCCAAACCCACTATCACACTGGAGGCAGCCCTTAACTCAGGTCAGGAGGTATTTGATCCTTTCTGAGGTGCAGGAAAGACCTCTATGATTCTTGAAGGGTTAATAGGTGGTGTAGGGAGTTAAGACAAAATTACAAGGGCAAGCAAGATTAGTATCTACAGACTGAGGTTGAATTTGAAGCAAATTTAACCACAAAATGGTATTATATTTGGGGATTAAAAGAAGTATACATAAACTTGATTTTATTAATTTTTTCTACAGGACTAAGATTTTCATTACAAACATGTAAAGTTAGTTTCTAGGGAAATATTATATACCTGGTTTCAATGAACTGATTAGGATGTTATATTCTTAGGTCAGCCAGATTATAAATCTAGAGTAATTTACACTAATTTGCATTTAAAAATTAGTCTAGAAATACATGGAGTCTTACAATGTGCATTTTAAATCCCTTAGCTATGACTCAAGTGAGTTGAAAAGAGTAACCTGTGTTAAAGCACCCAAGGAAAGGTGAGATATAAATATATACAGAGAGAGGAAGGGGCATACTAAAGTTTATGAGGTCAAATTAGTTATGAAGTCCTTGTTTCTAACAATTATGTACATCCTATCCAAGTTATCCATGATATGTGAAGAGTAGAAGGTGGTGGGAGGGACTCAGATTCCAAATAACTAATTGACATATTTTTAAGAGTTCAATTAGTTTATATATTCTATAGCAAATGTATCAATTTCAACCAAAAAAAGTAAGTCTATGAACTCACTTAGCTCTATGTACATTTTTAATCCTTCACACTGACTTGAATAAAGTGGCATCGGAAGTATTTGACTACTGTGATATATTTTACCTCTCAACGATGGTGCATTAAAGACTACTGATGTCATTTATTTGGATCAGTGATATATATATATATAGAGAGAGAGAGAGAGAGAGAGAGAGAGAGAGAGAGAGAGCGCACACACCCAAGAAAGACAGACAAAGAGGATGAGAGAGGCAGAAGACAGAAAGGAAACAAAGTGGGGGGTGCGGGAGGGAAGGGGAAGGAGAGGGGTAGAGGGTAGGGTTGAGGGAGAGACGGGATGGGGGAGGGGAAGAGAAAACTAGAGAGATTTGGAAGTATCCATGAGAATACAGTCTTCTGGACAATAAGTCTAAAATTCTTCCTAAAAATTTAGGCCATCCAGTGAGCTAAGTCATGTTTGCTATATCCTTTAGATTCAAGGAATTCTTGTTCAAATACATTTTCACAACGCTCGTCCATGTAGCAAATTTCTAATGACATGTTTTTGCATTTGTTGGTGGTTAAAGTATAATGGAACGACTCTCCAGGTTCCATGATGATGATGATGAAGACATTGGCTTTCTCAATTCATATGAGTAAGTCAGTTTGAAGTTTGGAGGAGGGGGGTCATCAGTGGATCTCTTATCTTTGCAAAGGTAGAGCTTGTGTTGAGGCAAAAGAGAACTATGGAAAGGTATCAAAATGTTTGAGAGGGAGAGTACACAACAATGACTCAACTTCAATTTGCAGATAAGTACCATGCTTGAAAGAGTTATTTTCACACATTCACAAATAAATGTTCATCTAGTTAAAAAATGTGAAAATATTCTGAATAGACACTAATTTTATTATAAAGTTTCTTCTTAACAGAGGATTGCAGAATTCTACTTATTCCTTAGTTGTGTTCCTTTCTCATTTTTTTTTTCTGGATATATTCTGGTTCCCAGTTTTGTTAATTTTGTCTATGAGCAAATGGGACCCAGAACACAAGTGAACACATTTTTCTGATTAAAGGCCTCTTCATGCTCACTGGAATTTTGTTAATTTTGACTTGTTTCTGAGTAATCTCCCTGAGAGTAAGTACTTCCTATTGCACTTGACCTGAAGGCATTTTTACTATGTATCCATGGCAAGGTAACAATACGTTCTTAGAATCACATGTGTTGGAACTGCAGAAATATTCATGAGATTTTTCTTCTGCTTTCCTCTTGGCCACTTATTTGACCATTTAGCAGCTTGTGCCAATATGTTGGAGAGTGAGTAGTGCTGAAGAGGAAATTAACTGGTCACTGCTGGAATTTGTTTGCTATCTAGACAAAGATAACATGGAAAATAAGGGGGAAACTAATGAATCCAAATAGTACTCCAGGCTACCCATGAATTCATTTCCATTTTCTACGACTTTTTATCATGCGCCATTACTGAAGAGTAAACTCTGCTATTTAATTAAATTTTAGGTCTTGATATTAGCTGTACATTTTCTGCAATAAGACTGCCCAGGACTGAGGCAAAGTTTTTTAAGTTTTTAATTCCACTGTAGTTAACATATGGTGTTATATTAGTTTCAGGTGTACAATACAATGATCCATCAATTCCATACATTTCTCTATGCTCATTATGACAAATGCACCCCTAATCCCCATCGCCTATTTAATTCATCCTCCTACCCACCTCCCCTCTGGTAACCCACCTCCCCTCAGTTAAAAGTCTGTTTGCAGCCAGTGTGGAAAACAGTATGGAAGTTTCTCAAAAAGTTAAAAATAGAATTACCCTATGACCCAGCAATTGCGCTACTGGGTATTTACCCAAAGAATACAAAAACACTAATTCAAATGGATACATGCACCCTTGTGTTTATAGCAGTGTTATTTACAATAGCCAAATTATGGAAGTAACCAAAGTGTCTATTGATTGATGAATAGATAAGGAAGATGTGGAAGATACACACACACACACACACACACACACACCCCTACATAATATGAATATTATTCATATTATTATTATTCATATTATTCAGCCATAAAAAAGAATGAAATCTTCCCATTTGAATGACATGGATGGAGCTAGAATATAATGCTAAGCAATGTAAGTCAGTTAGAGAAAGACAAATACCATACAATTTCACTCCTTTGTGGAATTTAAGAAACAAAACACGCAAAGGGGAAAAAAAAGAGAGGGGCAAATTTTGAAAAGACTGAGCAAGGCAAGCATTTCCTTCTTACCTCCTCCAAACAAAATAAAGTGGGGTTTTGTTTGTTTTGTTTTTTAAATTGCAAACACTTATTGCATAGATACTGGTATTTGCATTAATCCCTGTGAGATACAGGGGAGAGACCAGGGAGGTGTTATTAGATTTGGAGTAGGAGCTGAAATTAATGCTCGGCTTTGGCATCTAAGATTCACCTTGCACTTGGGAACTCACTAAATCTCTTTAAACTTTAGATCATCCATCTGTAAACTGGTACATTTCTATCTACAGTACCTATCTACTGGGTGTTACATAATTAAAAACTAATAATAAAAGTAAATAATAGGTGTAAAAGTGTTTTTAAAACTAAAGCACCATAAATAAGTTGTATGCTCAAAGCCAAAAATAACACAACAAAAGTTCTATTAGGAAAATCAGAAAATACAGACAAGCAATAAATCTACCCATAAATAGTAATTCTTAATTTCTGAAACCTGTTATTTTAGGTTCTTTATACATGTTTTGTTTATGGATAAGGTATCATGCTTACATTCATTTTTTATTAAGTTTTTTAATTTCAATGTACTTAACATACAGTGTTATATTTCGGGTGTACAATATAGTGATTGAACAGTTCTATATATTACTCAGTGCTCATCATGATAAGTGTACTCTTAATCCCCTTCACCTAGGTCATTCATTTTCCCACCAACCTGTCCTCCGGTAATCCAGTTAAGAGTCTGTTTTTTGGTTTGTCTCTTTGTTCCCCTTTGTTTGTTTCTTAAATTCCACATAGGAGTGAAATCATATGGTATTTGTCTTTCTGTGACATACTTCACTTAGCATTATACTCTCTAGCTCCATCCATGTGATTGCAAAAGGGCAGATTTCATTTCTTTTTATGGCTGAATAATATTCCGTTGTATGTATATACACATCTTCTTTATCCATTCATCTATCAGTGGACCCTTGGGCTGCTTCCATATCTTAGCTATTGTAAATAATGCTGCAGTAAACATAGGGGTGCACATATCTTTTCAAATTGGTGTTCCATATTCTTTGGGCTAATACCCTATAGTGCAATTACCAGATCACAGTGTAGTTCTTTTTTTAAATATTTTGAGGAAACTCCATACTGTTTTCCAGAGTGGTTGTACAGTTTGCATTCCCATCAATAGTGCATAAGCATTCCTTTTTCTCCACATCCTCACCAACACTTGTTGTTTGTGTTATTGATTCCAGCCATTCTGACAGTGGGAGGTATTATCTCATTGATTTGCATCTCCCTGATGCCTTGGGATGTTGAGCATGTTTTCAAGTGTCTGTTGGCCATCTGTATGTCGTCTTTTGAGAAATGTCTGTTCATATCTCCTGCCCATTTTAAATTGGATTACTTGTTTTTTTTAGTGTTGAGTTGTAGAAGTTCTTTGCATATTTTGGATACTAACCCTTTATCAGCTATGTCACTTGCAAACATCTTCTCCCATTCCATAGGTTGCCTTTTAGTTTTGTTGATTGTTTCCTTTGCTATGCAGAGCTTTTTATTTTCATGTAGTCCCAATAGTTTATTTTTGCCATGCTTATATGTGTTTAAAAATACATTTGTTCCTTAGTGATGTATTATGAATATATTTCCAGGTTAATAAAATACACATATACATTTGATTATATATTTTTAACATTTCAAAATTTTTACTGAGGTTCTGCCAATAGCTGAGTTGATTTACTTTAACATTTTTAACAGCTGTGTAATTTGTCATGGCATAGATGTGCCATAATTTATTTAAATAGATATTGCTGGACATCGTTTACAACTTTTACTGTTGCAAAAAGTGACAAATATTTGAGACCAAATCTCTGTGTGTTATCATTTCCTTATGATAAGTTCTTAGAAGTGAAATTCTGTGTCAGAAGAAATGCTTAGGAGGCTATTGATATTGATAAGCTCTCCTACACCAAGATACAGAGGTATGCATTTCCTCCCTACCCACACTAGTCATCTTTGATCTTATCAATATTAGTAAATATGTTTGTTCTAATGTACATCTCTTTGACATACTTTTTTCATAGAGTTGAATTTCTTTATTGGCAAAATACCTTTGCCCATTTAAAATTGTGTTTTGTATCTCTGTTGTTGGATTGAAAACTTAAATATATCGATCTTTATTATATCCTATATAGGGCAAGTAATTTTTCCCAGTTTCTCTAGCTTTTCACTATACAGAAACTTATAATTTTCATGCAATAGAATATATCTATACTTTATGATTCATGCCTTTAGGGTCATACTTAGAAAGTATCTACTCAAGATTTTCATATATACACCAAAATTTCTTCTATATTTTGAAATTATTTTCTACATTTAAATGAAACATCTTCCCAGAATTTATTTTGCATTAAGGTATAAAGTGTAGGAATCTATTTTTCTCCCACGTGACTACTAGTTTTCCCACGTCAAAATTGCATCACCCTCCATTTTCTTTGCCCCATTTTAATTATCTTTACTGTGCTTATCACCCTATAACTTACGATGATACTTGCTTATTTACTGTATTTATGGTCTATCTTCACAACAAGAATGCAAGCACAATAAAGGAATAAATTTTTTCTATTTTAATTGCTATCTGTATAGTGTCTAAAGCAGTTCCATGGCACATAGTAGGCATTCAATGAGTTTGGTTGAATCAATTAACCCTTTATTGAAAAAATTTATTTTTTTCAATGATTTTTAAATCCCTTTCTATTATATTATGAATCTTTACATACTTGTTGCTTCCAGAATCTATTTTATTCCATGATTTTACTAGCCTGTTGAAAACAGTACACTTTTCACACATTAAAGTATAATTTACAGCACACTAAGACTTTTTTTTAACTTAAGATACTTATATGTGATGAATTTCATGCATTTTGCGGCAATTCTGTGAGTTTTGACTAATACATTCATGTAACCACCACCATAATCATGATAGAATGATTCTAACATGCCCTTAAAATTTCTCAAGTCCCTTTGTGTTCAGCTCCTCCTACAACCCACCCTGTGGCAATCACTGATCTGTTTTCTGTCCTTATAGTTTTACCTTTTCCAGAATGTTATTTAATGGATTTGAGCACAATTGTAGCCAACTAAAATTGGCCTCTTACATGTAGCATAATGTATTGGAGATTTAACCATATTAATACATGTGTCAGTAGTCTCTTTTTGTTCCTGACTTGTATTCCATTATTTGAACATAACCATATTTTCTTATCCATTCAGTCATTAATGGTCATTTGTATTATTTCCAGTTTGGGCCTGTTACGAATAATGTGGTGTGAACATTTGTGAGCAAAGCTTTGTGTAGACATAATTTCATTTATCTTTGGTGAATACTGAGGAATAGAATTGCTGAATCTTGGGGCATC